GGCCGGTGAGGCAGTGACGGTGAGCGCGGGGCCTGTGAGGCAGTGACGGCGAGGGTGGGGCCGGTGAGGTAGTGACAGTGAGTTTGATATGCACGTGAACTTACCTTCCGGTCAACACAAATTTTTAATTTTAGTTTTTAAGAAGTTAATAAAAAACAATATTCATGCTCTCTGTAAATGTATACTTCTGCTGGTATATGTTGAGAAAACCCAAGGTATTAACCATGACTTAGAAATCGTTTGAAGTAAGTCTACAATGTGTACCCTTGGCAAATGACGATGCCGGCTGCATGGGAATATTCATAAGATTGATGCTAAATTGTCAAACAGTGAGCAAAATTTAACAAAGACATGGGTTTACATAATAGGTGAAATGCTTAGCCCTGTTCCATAGGGAGGATTCTGACTGAATTGGAAATGTAACTAATTGACATAAAGCAGATGTAACTGATACGACCAATTGGTAAATTTTCTCATGGCAGGTTTGCATATCTATTTTCCTGGTTTCCAATCATACCAGAGATTTATAATTAGCCATATTAAAAACAGGTCATGAAGGCAACATATAATATTCCCAATCTGTGTCCTAGACCTCTCAGTGGTCCAGATTTTGATCATTTACTCTTATTGTCAGTTAGAGTCATCCTTGGAGATCAGAGCTTAGCCATTTAATCTATAATCCTAAAAGTAAATTACTGCAGATGCTGGAAATCTCAATTAAAAACAGAAATTGTTAGGAATATTCAGCAAGTCTTGCAGCATCTGTGGATAAAGAAACGGAGCTAACGTTTTATTATGAAAATGTCATGTCAGGTGTAAAATGTTAACTTTGTTTCTCCATTGATGCTCCAGACGTGCTGGTATTTCCAGAATTTTCTGGTTTTACTCTTATTATCTTAACCCACTTCCCTGGTGAGTTTTGCTCAGTGCTAAAAGTGTTTGACAATTTACGGCCAACCTTGTGAATGTTCACGTGCAACAAGCAGCTTAACCTGAGAAGTGGGAAATCATGAACCAACTCAGAATGATGTTCAAATTGAAAGCCATGGGTAGCACACTGGTATTTTTCTAAATGTACTGGAAGGCATATGCATTCATAGAAACTTTTGATACTGTAATGTGTACAGGAATTAGGACTGTTTTAACCTAACTACTGTTTAATTGACTTTTTAAAAATCTGAGTTGCATTGTGGACACATATATTAAACTAAAATTGTAAAATATACTTCAAATTGATTTGTTATTTTAGCAGCATCAGATTTGTTAAAAAAAAGAGTAAAAGGTAAATTTACAGTTAGAGTTTTTATAGGCATTTTCTTAGCACTCTGTTCTGATCACTTTTGGATATTAATAGAAATACAAATGCCTAGCCTCAATGAATAGAACCATGCCATAAGAGCTCGCTTTTTTAAAAAAACAAAATCAAGCTTTATTATATATCGAACAAGCTAAATAAAACAAGTAGAATAAGTTAACACTGTAGTTTTTATGTAAAGTTCTAAGGTTTACTTCTTACTTTCCCAAGAATTCCCTTGTAAGATTCATCAATCTTAAAAGTTGTTTATTTCTGTAGGACCATCTGCACATATGCTACAATCCTCTGAAGAATTCTGCTCAGCTCCTGCTACTCTCAGAGGTAAAACTTTCATTTACCAATCCTTGACCGTAAATGCCTCAGTTCCTTGTTTTGGTTACATTTCAATACTTCCAGGTTAATTTAGCTGTTCATTTTCTTTTGCAATAAGTTACTATGTAGCACATAGTAGGTTCTCCCACTTGCTGCAAATTGGGTAATCTTCAAATATTTGTTCCCTTTTGAGATTCAAACTGAGTCGGGGCTCACCTACTTTCCATATGGTCAATGATGAGGTTAGTGCTTTACTCTGCTTACAGTGCAGGTTCGCCTAACAATCAGTCAGTTTAATTAACTTCTCGCAGACAACTGCAAACCACATCGCGTCCACACAGCAAACAGCTTTTCCAGCAAACACTCAGATAAATTGAAACCAGAGAATCTTAAGCTCCACCCATCCTCATGACAATATGAACTATTCTGGACTCAAATCAGCCCTTAAGTTAATTATGTCTCACTTAAGATTTATTTCAAAATCTATGAAATAAATGGGGTTGGCCTTTAAATTATTTCATCTCTACCCCTAAAATGAAAGAAACCATTTTTTACTGCACTTATTGCAAGTATAGCAGGCATCATATCTCTAGCTTTTTAGCTTTGTAAATTCACCTGCTGGTTTATAACTCTATCTCCTCTGACTTAATTAAAAATTGCCAGTTCTTGGGATGTTTTTGGCAAGCTGTAAAGCCCAGCATTTATTGACCTTACCTTAATATATTGATCACTCCAGAATTAAAAATGACCTCTAAAATATTATCATGAACCATGAGCTAGACATTTACTTCATTCCTTTCTGCTTCTCTTCCTAGCTGGACAGAGGACTTTGTATCAAGTATTTTGTTTGGGTCAATTCTTTGGTTCATCCACAACATTAGACAGAATAGAGGTAGCTTTATCATCACTGCCTAGTTGATAATTCAGCAGTGTGCATAGCCCATTCTTTGTAGAATCAGTCTGACTTTCAGTCTGCCATCATTGCAGGCAGTTTCCACAACATTTGTAAATATTTATATTTATTCATGCATCTGTCAATCAAAATTTAAGTATCCACTTAGTTCAGTATGAGCAATGCAACACAGAGTCATACAGCCCAGAAACAGACTCTTCGGTCCAACTCATCCATGCTGACCAGATATCCCAATCTGACCTAGTCCCATTTGCCAGTCTTCGGCCCATATCCCTCTAAACCCTTCCTATTCTTATACCCATCCAGTTGTCTTTAAAATGTTTTAATTATATCCGCCTCCACCACTTCCTCTAGGAGCTTATTCCATGTACACACACCACCCTCTGCGTGAAAAAGCTGCCCCTTAGGTCCCTTTTAAAATCTTTTCCCTCTTGCTTTAAATCTATGTCGTCTAGTTTTGGACTCCCCCCACCCTAGGAAAAAGACCTTGGCTATTCACCCTACCCAGGCCCCTCATGATTTTATAAACCTCTTTAACGTCACCCCTCAGCCTCCGATGCTCCAGAGAATATAGCCCCAGTCTATTCAATTTTAAAATAGTTATGGAAAAGGATAGAACTGATCATAAAGTTAAAGTTCTAGATTGGAGTAAAGCCAAATTTGATGGTATTAGACAGGAACTTTCAAAAGTTTTTTAGGGGAAGATTTCCCAGGATGGTTGGGAAGTGGGAGGCCTTTAAGAATGAGATAACAAAAGTTCAGAGACAATATGTTCTTGTTAGTGTGAAGGGCAAGGCTGGTGCAGGGAATGGTGGATAACTAGAGAAATTAAGGCACTGGTCTAGAAAAAGAGGGAGGTATACCTCAAGGATAGACAGCTAGGATGGAGTGAATCTGTAGAAGAGTATAGAGTAATAGGCGTATACTTAAGAGGGAAATCAGGAGGGCAAAAAGGGGACATGTGATAGCTTTGGCAAATAGAGTTAAGGAGAATCCAAAGAGATTCTATTAATACATTAAGGACAAAAGAGTAACTAGAGAGAGAATAGGGCCCCTTAAAGATCAGCATGGCCGTTTGTATGTGGAACCACAGGAGATGGGTGAGATATGAAACAAATGACACGTGTTTACAAAATATCATCTTGGCTGCATTATAAAACTAATACTAAAAAATATTAGCTATTGTTTGTTACATAATGTTGGATTCCATCTACAGTGAGACCACAGGGGGGACCCTTTGTGTGTCGTTGCTGAAAGAAGCTGTTCGGTAATTACTGCTGCTGTTCTCGTGCTGACAGCGGTTGTGCTTCTTTGGGAGATAAATGTTATCCTCCTTATTCACTAAAGAGTTGCATACTGCTGCCACGGTCAATTGAAAGTGAATTAGTTGCCAGCGATCTGAAGCGCTAAGCAGAGTAAAGGTCTGCTCAGACACCGAATTAATCAGTCATTAAATCTCATTGTACCAGACTTCAGCTTGTTGTCTCAGCAGGTAGGTGTGAAGCTTTCCTTCTCCTAGAAAGTGCTTGTAAAACTGAACTGGCTCAAGTGACATGTAGTGATCTGGTATTGTTATGAGAAGTAGAAAATTGGAATTAAACCGCCAACTGGCAAACCTATGCATTAATGTTTATGGCCCACTATTACCCTTGTTCCTTTTAGGGATAAGACCCTGTCTTTGCCTCATTGAACAAGAGCGCAAGCAGATTTACAAAATATTCTTTTGGGGGGAAGGCTTCCTGAAAGAAGTACAGGTTGGAAATGTATTCACTTTACTGTGTCTTCAATATGATTTCTTTATGACCAGTCAAACTAAGAAACTTTGAACTAGTTTAATTGGTAGCCTGTAAACTGTCCAGGGACATATTCTGCTGAACCTCAACCAAACAGCACAAATTGAGAAACACATCCTCTGAGATACTGCCATTCTTTGTGTTCTTCTAATATTGGACTAGAACAATGCCTGTTCGACAGGGACATTCAGCATTCCATGGTTGATGGGGGAAGCCCAAAATTACTTTTCAAATGTTAGGTCTTCTAGAGCAACTGAGTTCTTGGTCTCACTTGGCAAGACGAAAGTTTGTAACTCTTTTTAAAAAAGTTGCCCGTTTCACAAGGGACAGAGACTAATCTGCATGAAAGAAGTTACTTCTTTGTTCCACCCCACCTATTAGGACTTTCAGGTCCCTGTTTACCAGTTTTCTCTTCTCAGTCATGCCCGGGGCAAATGTCTGCAAATGTGTAGGGCAGCTCCAGAGAGCCAGCACTCGAATGGGTGCAAACAGTTTTTTAAATATGGTGCCACTACCAGAGATGCCGGTATCTCATGGGATATCCTGGCAGCGTCAAGTTCTTCTGGCTATTGGAGAGTGGGTAAAATTGGGCTAGTATCGGATCAGAAGGGTGCCACTGGGGCATGGTACCTAGTTAATGAGTTGACTTTCGGATATAAAGTTGGCAAAAGGGTACAGAACTGAAAGCGGAAATTTCCCATTTTTTAAAGTGAGGGCATGAACATGAATGACTCACTGTGAAAACTCCTCCAATTGCCCACCAATCAGCTCAAAAAGCTAACAGGTGTTTCTCAGTGAATCATAGACCTTGACACTGGCCAACCAGGTCACCAGAGGCTCACAGCCAATCATAGACCAATAGTTTCTGGGTCCTAAAGACTGCTATCAAGGCCTACTCTTTTTGGGCCTTGTGGAAAGAAACCCTCCATGAGAATTGACTAAAATGACACTTTCCCAAAATATGATAAGCTTCTTTTGAATTGAAAAGATTGGGTTGAACAGTAACTGAGCAGAAATGTTCACAGCTACTGCCACAGGAGGGCAGTACAGCACTGTCAGTTAAACAAATGCTGAGCGTGTGTGTTCCTCTTCTATATGCTTATGATCGATTTGAAAAATACATTTAAATAGCACATTCAACCACACAGGACATCTGAAAGTGCTTCACATCCAATTGAATATTTTCTTGAAGTGCAGTATTTGTTGAATGGGAGTGAACAGATATAGTTTAATTGAAATTCTTATTATTAGGTACTAAATATAATTAATCATGTTCTTTGTTGCAACTCAATTATCTTGTTCTTCCACATATCAAATTGGCACAAATAGTGAATTAACAACTCTAATTTAAAGGTAATTACATATTAATTAGGAGAATGAGTAGGAGCCATTCAGCCCCTTCAGTCTGGTGTGCCATCCTGCCATAATTCATCAGGTTGCACTCGTATGTATTCCGATTTTCATTTGCACAATGAACTTTAGAGTTGGCCATTTTTGCTTATTACATCATACAAAGCTAACCGATCACAGTGCTGATGGGCCTAGTGTTGGAAATGCCTTATAAATGGTCCGATGTGCTTTATGAACCATTTGTTAACTTGTAAGGTGATGTGTGCAAAAACATGTCTCTCTTTATATCTCAATAAAACTGTACTATTCAACATGCATTGATGTTGCTCATTCTTTCACCAATACAAAAGTGATCTCACACTGTTTTGTATTGGGTATACAATTTTCCATGTGTCCATCTATGCCCTCAAGGCTGTCAGTAGTTTCTTGAAGTCTGTTATTGTACTATTTTCTTCATTATTCACTGCACTTATAAGTTTTGTGTCATCTTCAAGTCTTGACACTGTTCTTGGCACACATTAAACAGTTGGAAACAAACGATCCAAGTACTAAATCTGAGGGAATTCTACTGTGTATCTCCTTCCTGTCCAAACCAAAACATTCTTCAACTCTGGGCACAATTTTGCCATCCCTGGAGGTAGTGAGTGAGAAGGGGAAATCGTTGGGCAAATTGGCCCTGGTGAGAAACTGTGTGGGTCCCTTTCTCAATCTCTACCAATTAAGGCACTTAAATAGTCAATTAATGGTCACCAAGGGCCTCAATGTGGCCTCAACTTTCCTGATATCCAATCTCATTCGTGGGCGATTGAGAAACAATGGTGAGCTGCTGGCCAGGTTGCCAGGGGAGAATCTTCAGTAATATAAACAATATTTATCTTCTTACTGTCAGATACTCCAAAGAATAGGTTTTGATAACAGTCTTTAGGACCCAGAAACTTTTGATCTCTGATTGGCTAGTAGCTTCTAGTGACCTGGTTGGCCAGTGTCAAGGGCGGTGATTCACTGAGAAACACCTGTTAGCTTTTACTGAGCTGATTGGTGGGTAATTGGAGGAGTTTTCACAGTGAGTCATTCATTTCCTAACTGCTCATGCCATCACTTTAAAAAAATAGAAAAATTCCGCTTTCAGTTCTCTACCCTTTTGCCAATTTTATGTCCATGTATTGGATTCTGGGCTGAGATGCCTTTCATTATTAATGATGCCACTTACGTAAATGACATTTCAGAAATATGAACATTGATTAGGAGAAAAAAAAATGGAATAAATGAGTTTAAGGCACAGTCAAAGAGAAATATTTTAAAGTATTCTTCAGTGACATGCAGTCAGGTGGCAGGCAGAGGCATTTTAAGCATGTGTATGAGAGGCGAAGAGAACAGTAGCTTAAAGACGATAATGGGATAGAAAAATAAACGTCTATGGCATAGAAGGAGATCATTTAGCCTGTCATGTCTGCACAGCTCGACGTAGAAGCAATTTGTCTAGGGCCACACTTCCTCCATTTCTCTGTAATTCTGAACATTCCTCCATTTTAGATAACAACCCTGTTCCTTCTTAAATGCTTCAAATGAATCTGCTTCCACCATACTATTAGGAAGTGCATTCCAGATCCTAACCACTCATTGCGTGAAGATGTTTTCCACATATGGCCATAGCTTCTTTTGCCAATTACTTTAAATCCATGATCTCTTGTTCTCAATCCTACCACCAATGGGAACAGTTTATTCCTTACCTAATTTATTTGGACCATTAATGATTTTTAATATTTTTTATCAAAAGTCCTTTCAATGTAACTTGTACCTGATTGTCATCACACAATAAACTACATCTTGTTTAATGCAAGAGCCTCTTGTCATTAGACAATCATGTGGGTTTCCTCTGTCACACTAGACCAAGTGAATCCTGCAATTATCAACCTAATAGGAGATGGTGGCAGCAAATCAAGCTTATGATCAATAGTCAAATAGCTTGTACATCACTATGAGCAGTGATAAGGATACATCATGCAACGTTGTCCATTCTCTTTGGGCCTGTCTTACAGTTATTGCTTGTCCTTATTATTTACAGTGCTACTTCAATGCTGCAGCTTCCGTGGTGCAAGACTATTGACTGTAAGTAGGAAAGACTGCAAATGGACTTGGAGGATTCCTCAAGTAGCCTACAGTTAAGCACTACCTAGTACTGCAAGAGAAAGGGAAGTGGGTCAGCAAGCATGACATAATACTTTTGGGGACATGCCTGCCACATTTAAACTGCTGATAGCGTGTCCAAACTATGGGACAAAAACAGAAGTTGTCAGAATAAACAAAGAGGAGTTAAAAGAGAATTTGTTGTCCCACAGACCCCTTCGCCCACTTCCAACACTCTCCCTCCACCTAGACCCCTCCCTCCGGCCCCTTATCTGCACTCGATCTGTTCAGTGAGAACTGTTGATGTAATATTGGTCACCTCAATTTCTCTGCCCCCGCCCCTTACCCAATCCAACTATCTCCCTCCGAACTGACTGCACTCTGTGTGTTTAGATCTAACCCTGACTTTGTCATTAAGCCTGCCACTAAGGGTGGTGCTGTGTAGTCTGGCGTACTGACCTCTACCTTGCAGAGGCTGAGCGCCAGCTCTCAGATACCTCCTCCTACCTTCCCCTGGACCATGATCCCACCATGACACATCAGGCCATTGTATCAACTACGGTAACTGATCTCATTTCATCTGGTGACCTCCCTCCAATGCTCCAAGCTGCTGGTACCCCAACCCCACACAGCTCGCTTCTACCTTCTTCCAAAACATCCACAAACAGGACTGTCTGGGCAGACCCATTGTTTCAGCCTGCTCCTGCCCCACAAAACTCATCTCTTCCTACCTTGGCTCAGTCTTCTCTCCCCAGTCCAGTCCCTACCCACGTACATCTGTGCTTCCTCTGACACTTTATGCCAGTTTCAAAACTTCCAGTTTGCAGGGTCCAGCCGCCTCCTCTTTACAATGGATGTACAATCCCTTTACACTTCCATTCCCCACCAGGAGGGTTTTAGGGCTTTCCGCTTCTTCCTGGAGCAAAGGCCTGAGTCGTCCCAAACCACCAGCTCCCTCCTCTACTTGGCCGAGCTCGTCCTCACCCTCAACAACTTTTCTTTTAACTCTTCTCATTTTCTTCAGGTCAGAGGGCTTGCCACGGGTACCTGCATGGGCCCTAGTTACGCCTGTCTCTTCATGGGGTACGCAGAACTTTCCTTGTTCCAGTCCTATTCCAGGCCCCGCCCACAACTCTTTCTCTACTATATCGATAATATCATCGGTGCTGCTTCCCTCTCTCTCTCGAATTGGAAAAGTTCATCGATTTCTTTTCCAATTTCCACCCTGCCCTCACTTTCACCTGATCCATCTCCGACTCCTCCCTTCCCTTTCTCGACATCTCTGTTTCCATTTCTGGGGATAGTCTGGCCACTAATATCCACTATAAACTACCTGACTCCCACAGCTACCTGGACTATACATCCTCACGCCCTGCTTCCTGTAAAGAATCCATCCCATTCTCACAGTTCCTCCGTCTCTGTTGCATATGTTCAGATGATACCAACTTCAACAAGGGAGCCTCCAAAATGTCCACCTTCTTCCTCAACCGAGGGCCCTCAACCAGGTCTGACCCATCTCCCATACTTCCGCCCTCATTCCCTCTCTTCCCTCCTGCAACTGCAATAGGGTTCCCCTTGTCCTTATCTACCATCCCACCAACATCCACATTCAGAAGATCATCAGATGCCATTTCTACCACCTCCAGCGAGATGCCACCACCAGACATATATTCCCCTCCCTTGAGGAAAGGTCACCTTCTGAGGAAGGTCACCGGACCCAAAACATTAATTCTGATTTTTTCTTCACAGATGCTGCCAGACCTGCTGAATATTTCCAGCAACTTCTGTCTTTGTTCCTCTCCCCTCCCTTGTCCGCCTTCCGCAGGGACCATTCCCTCTAGGACCTGATCCACTCTTCCTTCACCCCCAACATCCCCCACAGCCCCACGGCACTTTCCCATGCAACCGGCAAAGGTGTAACACCTGTCCATTTACCTCCTACCTCCCCAGTCTCCAAGGTGCCGAACATACCTTCCAGGTGAAGCAACACTTCACCTGCACTTCCGAGAATCTACTCTATTGCATTCGCTGCTCACAATGTGATCTCCTCTACATTATGGGAAATGAAGCGTAGACTGGGTGACTGTCTCGCAGAACAACTACGCTCTGCCCACAAAAAAGACCCTGAGCTTCCACTTGCCAGCCATTTTAAGACACCACCCTGTTCCCTGGCCCACATCTCTGTCTCAGGCTTACTGCAGTGTTCCAGCGAAACTCAACACAAGCTGGAAGAGCAACACTTCATTTTCCACTTAGGGACCCTGCAGCCCTCCGGACTCAATATCGAGTTCAATAATTTTAGGGCCTAAACTCTCCCACGTCCTAGACCATTACCCCACACACCAGGCCTTATTATCACATAGTCTGCCATTACACACTACATATTGTTAGTCACTAACAGTCCCCATTAACAACTATTCACCCTCCCAGCCAGATCATTATCAGCTCCTTTGTCTATCCAGCTGCATTTCTCTCTCTTTAGGCTCTATTCTTTATCCTATCGTTTACTCCCTACCCCCTCCCTATTTTCTGTATATAAGCCGATGTTTTCCCAGCCACCATCAGTTCTGAGGAAGGGTCACTGGACCCGAAACATTAACTCTGATTTTCTCTTCACAGATGCTGCCAAACCTGCTGAGCTTTCCCAGTAACTTCTGTTTTTGTTCTTAATTTACAGCATCCGCAATTCTCTCGGGTTTTATTCCAAACTATGGGATGTCAGTGTTAGACTTGCAACGGTGCTCTATGTTAGGTGAGGACATGAAAGTTGGGTATGAGTTGTGCTTGATAGAGACTTT